TTGAATATTCAAAATAAATTTTTTCTGTGCACATATGTACAAATATACATATGTATATATGTATATATTGCTGCGATCCTATTATAATACGAAAAACCCTGCTTGTAGAAAAAACCATTTACCGAAATAAGTTTGAATGATTTGAATGTTTTCCAATCATTCATTCACATTCTTCCATTTGAAGGTAGAAAATTTGAAACAAAATGTATATTCATAACTTACAAAATTCCAAACGCTGAGTGTTGCGAAGTAAAATATTCAAATCTCCTGTACTCTGTATTTGTCAATGTTATTGTGGCTTGTTAACATTTTATTTTTAATATTTTTATTGAGCTTTGTACCACGATTGTTTATTAGGAAAAATCTGTTTGGCTAGAAGTTTGAATGAATTCATGCAGCCCTCTAATATGTTCGTATATTTCTCAGAATTCGGAAAATGGATATCTTCGTTGTACTTGCTGTCACTTAATTTACACATCCTTGAATATTTGGCTGACTAGCCTTGGCACCTCGGTTGATGTAGTTGTAGTAATGCTACTAAGAATTGCCTAGTTCAACTGATCTATCAATCGTGATATTAAGCTAACTGACGGTAGGCTCAAGAAAGTGCAATTTCAACAGAGGAGTTTTAAAGCTTCAAATCAAGAGATAGTCGGTATCATACGAGGTTCTTTGTCAACTTACTTCAACTTATATTGTCAATCCCTCATTCCCGGATCGGCATGACGAAGGTTGAAATTCATCCAGCCGAGATGAAGCGGGCTGCAGCTGCAGTGAAAACCTATGGAACTTCCGTTCACTAACGTGAACGTCGGTTAGTATGGGGAGGACAGAGAAGGTGCTTTCAGTAACTTTCGCGAACCCGTTCCAATCAGCTTTGGAAAAGTTGATATAGGTACGGTGTTCCTCGGAAGCAAAGTCGGCATATTCCTGGTGGGTGTGTAATCGTACATTATGCAGAATGTCGAATCATCTATCTGCTCAGCCAAGTGTGCTCTTCTACAATCATTCGACAGCCTTGACTGCCAAATATCGGTGCGCGTTAAGGTCACCGATTACCATACGATTTAACCTCTGAGGAGCGCATCTATTTCAGAGTGATATCCTGCCCTAAGCTAGTGACAGGGGGTATATAAGCCTTAGATATTTCGAGCTCTACATCGCCTGACCGGATAGCAATACCCTAACATCTGGGATGATATCCCTGCGGTCGATCTCTGCTTCAATGCGACGATACTTCACGGTGGGGTGCGTAATGAACGCTAGGCCACCAGCATTATCTCGCTCGCGATCTTGACGATGCACATTGTATCTGGCGCATTTCAACAATGTTGAATTGCTGTGCGACTTCGTCTCTTGGACTGCAGCTATCAATAGTTACACGAATTTCGATACGATACGATACCATATCGATACTTTTGGCATTCGATACCGATATTTTCTATTCGATAGTTTTAAAACGATATTTTTTTGAATCGAGTACCAGAACCCTAGTATCGTATCGAGTGTCATAAACTCA